GAGAGAAAAACCCCCCCCCCCCCCAACCTCATAGTTCTCCTTTAAAAAAAAACTTTTTATGAATGTAGAAAATGTGACGATGTCCCTTTAAAACATAAAACGTGCTTATTTGTGCCAAAAAGTCAGTTTTTCCGCAATAAAGTGTCGTCTTCAGTTGTCAGGGGAGTACGGCTGGGTGGTATGCGGAACCCCTTGGCAGGGGGCGGTAAGCCAAGTCCGAGGTCGCGGTACACTAGGAAAAATCCAGGAGAATAGTCGGGTCCAATCCGGGTCGAGGCGGGCGGCTGGGTTCAGAAACCTTTTTTTTTAACCAAGGGGCAGGTCCAAGGTTCGGTAACAGGAAGTTCGAGTAGAGGTTCAGGAAGGGAGCTGGGAGATCGCACCATAGGGAGGGGCGGAATTACTCGGCAACGAGTCGGGGCTCTCACTGGGTTGTTTATACCCAGTGGGGAACTAGGACCACCCCCTGGTTGCCAAGGCAACCAGGAGGCTTCTCCATCCAGGAGCCAATGGCAGGGGAAAGGCAGAGGGCGTGTATTGGGAACCGCCTCCAGCAGGGATCACACCTGACACCATCAATGGACGCAGTCGCACTGCACGCGCGCCCCCGTGCGCAGTTTGTCCGCCGCGCTACCCGCAACCTCGGCGCCAGGGACCCTGCCAGGAAAGAGAAACCGTGCCCCCCTCCCCCCCCGCCGCACATGGCGGCCTGGAGGAGTGGTAAGACCCCTGGCACCAACAGCAAACGTCTTCCTCTATGCAGTGCGGCACCTTTGATGAATCCTCTGCACTGCGACTCATCACCACGGACACTGGTCTCAGGTCTCTGCCTTGCTTTCCCCAGTGCAGCTCCTGGGACACCGTACATTGCGCCGCGTTCTGACAATGAACTACACCGCAGCGCAGCGCCGGACATAGCGCAGTGTTTTTTCGGGTGTTGTCGCAGTGCGATGGGTGTGAATGAGCCCTCAACGAGAGAACTTTAAAAAACGGACGGCCGGGAGCTTCCTGGATGTAACAGGCCGTGTGTATATGTATATTACAGTGTAATACTCAGCACCGGCCAGCAGATGGCGGCAAAGCACCGCACAATGTCTAACCCCATACAGTGTAATACTCAGCACCGGCCAGCAGATGGCGGCAAAGCACCGCACAATGTCTAACCCCATACAGTGTAATACTCAGCACCGGCCAGCAGATGGCAGCAAAGCACCGCACAATGTCTAACCCCATACAGTGTAATACTCAGCACCGGCCAGCAGATGGCAGCAAAGCACCGCACAATGTCTTATGTCTATAAAGTTGTATTTTGCTGGCAGGACCAAAGTAAGTTAAAAATGCAGAATTAAAAATAGTTTCCCCCCCCCAAAAAAATGCTGACCTCTTAAAAAATAAACAGAGGTATTCCCTCTCCACCCCCCTTCTCCTGCCTGTTGACTGTACAGTAAAAGAGCAGCAACAGACTGATGAGTTCCTCTCTGCTCTCTCCTCCTATCAACATGATCCTCATTAAAGACTGGTCACTGCTGCTCTCTCTCCTTGTGCTCTGATATGTGCTCTGATATCTATCAGGGATGCCTAGGCACAGGAAGTGCTCTGATATCAGTAGTGCCTAGACACAGGAAGTGCTCTGATATCAGGAGGGCTTAAGCACAGGAAGTTCTCTGATATCAGGAGGGCCTAGGAACAGGAAGTGCACTGATAGCAGGAGTGCCTAGGCACAGGAAGTGCTCTGATATCAGGAGTGCCTAGGCACAGGAAGTGCTCTGATATCAGGAGTACCTAGGCACAGGAAGTGCTCTGATATCAGGAGTACCTAGGCACAGGAATAGCTCTGATATCAGGAGTGCCTAGACACAGGAAGTTCTTTGATATCAGGAATGCCTAAGCACAGGAAGTGCTCTGATATCAGCAGTACCTAGACACAGGAAGTGCTCTGATATCAGTAGTACCTAGGCACAGGAAGTGCTCTGATATCAGGAGTACCTAGGCACAGGAAGTGCTCGGATACCTGGAGGTGAAGACTCCATGTCCTCATGAATATCAGGGGGTCCCTCAGGGACCCCTTAGGGGCTGTTACCCACATGCTGCCCCCGGGGTCACTCATCAGGGTATGTGCCCTGTGAGAGGTGACGGGTGCAGAAACGGTGAATCAGGGGCTCAGATCTTCCATTGTCCAGGGCGGGGCGGGGAATGATGGCTTTGGCCTCCCATAGTTTGGGGTCACCCGGCACCGATCTGTGTGAAATCTCCACATTCCGGGGACAATGGTGACAAATGTCCCCCCATACAGAGCACCTGACCTGTGTAAGGGGGGGGGGGTATGTAGTGCACAATGGCTTCCACAGGGAGGCGCGCACACGTCATTCACGGCGGCGGACATTCCTCAGTGCCGGTGTTCTGTCAGACCAACACCGGCCGCCATGTGTCCGTCATAGACTGAGCTGAGAGAAGCCGCACGGTCTCCATAGCAACAAGCGGAGGAGAGGGGAGCCGGGGACTTTTAAAGCGTGACGTCATGACGTCTCGGCTCAGGCTCCTCCTCCTGTCACCTCCCACCTCGCAGAGACGGAAGCCGGCGGGGTCCGGGCAGGTCCGGGGCTGGCGGAGAGATGAGCGACTCCAAGGTGAAGGTGGCCGTCCGGATCCGGCCTATGAACAGGAGAGGTGAGCGGGGGAGGGGAGGAGAAGGGGGACACCACCCGGGAGAAGAGGGGTGACAGGGTGCCGGGACCCCTCCGACACTGACAACTACACTGACACTGCGAGCACTGACACCCGGGGGGCGGCACTGCTCTGCACGGAGCTGCTGGGATTCCTCTGATACTTTGTAACAACTTTTTAACTACTTTTCATGTTACACTGCTGACTGCTCCCCGGTACCCCTGACAGTTTACACGGCTGACTGCTCCCCGGTATCCCTGACAGTTTACACGGCTGACTGCTCCCCGGTATCCCTGACAGTTTACACGGCTGACTGCTCCCCGGTATCCCTGACAGTTTACACGGCTGACTGCTCCCCGGTATCCCTGACAGTTTACACGGCTGACTGCTCCCCGGTATCCCTGACAGTTTACACGGCTGACTGCTCCCCGGTATCCCTGACAGTTTACACGGCTGACTGCTCCCCGGTATCCCTGACAGTTTACACGGCTGACTGCTCCCCGGTATCCCTGACAGTTTACACGGCTGACTGCTCCCCGGTATCCCTGACAGTTTACACGGCTGACTGCTCCCCGGTATCCCTGACAGTTTACACGGCTGACTGCTCCCCGGTATCCCTGACAGTTTACACGGCTGACTGCTCCCCGGTATCCCTGACAGTTTACACGGCTGACTGCTCCCCGGTATCCCTGACAGTTTACACGGCTGACTGCTCCCCGGTATCCCTGACAGTTTACACGGCTGACTGCTCCCCGGTATCCCTGACAGTTTACACGGCTGACTGCTCCCCGGTATCCCTGACAGTTTACACGGCTGACTGCTCCCCGGTATCCCTGACAGTTTACACGGCTGACTGCTCCCCGGTATCCCTGACAGTTTACACGGCTGACTGCTCCCCGGTATCCCTGACAGTTTACACGGCTGACTGCTCCCCGGTATCCCTGACAGTTTACACGGCTGACTGCTCCCCGGTATCCCTGACAGTTTACACGGCTGACTGCTCCCCGGTATCCCTGACAGTTTACACGGCTGACTGCTCCCCGGTATCCCTGACAGTTTACACGGCTGACTGCTCCCCGGTATCCCTGACAGTTTACACGGCTGACTGCTCCCCGGTATCCCTGACAGTTTACACGGCTGACTGCTCCCCGGTATCCCTGACAGTTTACACGGCTGACTGCTCCCCGGTATCCCTGACAGTTTACACGGCTGACTGCTCCCCGGTATCCCTGACAGTTTACACGGCTGACTGCTCCCCGGTATCCCTGACAGTTTACACGGCTGACTGCTCCCCGGTATCCCTGACAGTTTACACGGCTGACTGCTCCCCGGTATCCCTGACAGTTTACACGGCTGACTGCTCCCCGGTATCCCTGACAGTTTACACGGCTGACTGCTCCCCGGTATCCCTGACAGTTTACACGGCTGACTGCTCCCCGGTATCCCTGACAGTTTACACGGCTGACTGCTCCCCGGTATCCCTGACAGTTTACACGGCTGACTGCTCCCCGGTATCCCTGACAGTTTACACGGCTGACTGCTCCCCGGTATCCCTGACAGTTTACACGGCTGACTGCTCCCCGGTATCCCTGACAGTTTACACGGCTGACTGCTCCCCGGTATCCCTGACAGTTTACACGGCTGACTGCTCCCCGGTATCCCTGACAGTTTACACGGCTGACTGCTCCCCGGTATCCCTGACAGTTTACACGGCTGACTGCTCCCCGGTACCCCTGACAGTTTACACGGCTGACTGACCCCCGGTACCCCTGACAGAGGACACGGCTGTCTGATCCCTGGTACATGCTGGCTGTGCCTCGTTCTTTCAGATATCACATGCACAGTTACTATAAATCCCCCCCCTGCTGCTTTCAGGGTCTATTGCCACTTGTCCATTTTAATGCAATTTTGTTGCTTTGCAAGTAAAGTTTCCGGCTTGTTCACGTCACTGAGATTGTTTATCATGAAAGGGAAAGTTGACCTTCATGGGCCTGTTGACACTGACACGTGTGCGTTACCGTGCGTGCTGCATGTGCACAGAGCAGAGTCCGGCCTCCGGTGTCCTCTGACATTGGACTCTGTGATGAGCTGAGTTCCGGAGTGACGGCCCGCTTTGTGTTCTGTTCACCCGACGGTCACAGAGTTGTATTGTTCTGTTTGTTTGATTTTAGTGGCTGGGCTGCACCTT